TATTATTAATTTCAGAGGTGAGGTCAGTGATTCATCAGTTGCGTGTAACACCCAGTGCTCATTCCATCCCGTGCCCTCGACACTCTACAGTTCTGTTGGTGATGCCCCTGAGGCTGGTCCACAGATCAATCTAGGGGACTAAGGCTGTAGAGCACCTTAATTATCCTTCACTGAGATTCTTTGGCTAGACTATGCCAAGACTGATCAGTGTGGGTCATACCTCATGAAAATGAAAGTTCTCATAATAACCAAAATATTTCCAAACTGCGGCTGGTGGCCTAATGACCTTGGGTCAAATGCAGGACAAAGAGAGGATGTGGACCACCTCTTCCCATGATGTCCATAGCTTACAGAAGTCCTGTAGCATCTTTCAATGAATTTAATCTAAAAGGAGTGACTAGAATCTATCATCAAGCAAATATCTGGTGCTTAAAAGAGGTTTGGTGCATCAGATATAGCAAAAAGGACCTGAATATTTTACTAGCTCTTTTTTGCAAAGCACCTAAAAACAAACAAACAACAGCTTTCAAAGCACACAGAGATCCGTTACCTCATCTGACTTTTACACTAACCTTTTGACTTAGGTGGAAAAGGAATTTTAAGGCTCAAGGAAGTGTGAAGATTTACACAGGGTGACAAAGCCACCGAATACTGAGTCCTCAGTGTCTAACCAACATACACCACCTTCCTCTCGAGTCCCGCTGGGACAGCTATGACCATAGCAACACCTGGCTTCTGCCCTTTGTGACAAGAGGTGCGGTCGCTTCTCTTCCTGAATACCTTTTCTTTATGTAAAAGGTACAGTGTGCGGTAATAGATATGGTCCAGTCCTTAACTCAAGGATGCACAGTACCGGAAAGGATACTAACCCAGCTAATATCTTCCTTGGTCTCAGGCCATATCCAAATCAGAGCATAATCGTCATCATCGGCTTCACATCTAGACAAAGTTGACATCTAGTACAAACTTAAGTCATCCCCGAGAGGTAAGGATGATTGGACTCTGTACTCAGAGTTTGTGGAATGAAGGACAAAAGCAAGATAAACATTTATCCTATTAGCTAAGATTCAATTTCTTCCTGTTTGAAATGCATTCCTTACATTTAAATCGAACATTTCATATGGTTGGGATAGAAACCAGTTTTTGGGGAGGTGTGTGTGGCATGTGGACCCTCAGGGGAGATGGAGACCACTGATACCCGAGGCAGGGATTCGCCCTTCACTTTGAAGGCTATTTACCTTCAGATTTTTTTCCTTTGGCATATATTTTTCTCTCCCTGGTCCCATTTTATTTTATTTTATTTTAGCAAGAGAGCGAGCACGAGCGGGGGGACAGGCAGAGGGAGAGGGAGAAGCAGGCTCCCCACTGAGCAGGGGACTGATGTGGGACTAGATCCCAGCACCCCGGGATCATGACCTGAGCTGAAGGCAGACGCTTAACCAACTGAGCCACCCAGGTGCCCCTCCCCGGCCCCATTTCTAACTGTGTATAGCTTTCTATATCTCTTCCTCTGAACCTATGCTGTCTAATATGGTAGCCAATAACACTTGAGATATGGCCAGTATGAAATGTGCTGTAAGTGTAAAAATACATACTGGATTTCAAACAGCATAAAATATAGACTGTAAACTATATCATTAATAATTAGATTGATTATATACTATTACATAATTATATTAATAGTTTAAATACTACTTTAGATATGTTGGACTAAATAAAATATATTGTTAAAATTAATTTCACTTATTCCATCTTACTGTAACCAGAAAAGTTTAAATTACATATGTGATTTACGTTATATTCCTACTGGATGGTGCTGCTCTGAACCCTCCCCTGCCTGTACTTAAGGCTAAAAGTAGACAAAGTTCTAACTACGACCTCATCCAGGGTTAAGAATAAAGAGAGTATTATCTTATGCCAAGTACATTTCAAACTCTTGGAGATACACACCAACTTTTTTTTTTTCCACATGTTTAGAAAAACAGCCATCAGCCCAACACACACACACACACACACACACACACACACAGGCTGCACTACCCCCACCCGCCCCGTACACCTGACAGTAAGCAGGGGATAGTTGCTGATCTGGAAACTGCTTTGCATCCATATTTGCACACACACTCACAAACTGTCCCCCTTGGCCTGGAGTGCTGGTTTTATTCTCTCCAAGTGAGCAATCCTGCATGAATCCTTGCTCTGTTGCCTTTCCATCTGCAGTTCACAGAAGACCCCCAGGAATGTGACCCTGGCCTCCCTGGGGCTATTAATCCCTCTGGATCCACGAAACACCTGGTGCCACCAAGGAGTTAGTAAGCGTTCTCTTCCAGCTTTGGGTGTGTGCCAAAGCCTTGAAACCCCAAATAAACTCTCCACAGGGTAAAGAACAGCAGGAAGTCCTGGAGATGTGAACAAGATGTGAACAAGGACCTCAACCTCAGAGTGGCCCAAGCCCCCGGAAGCGTCACAGGTCCCTTCTGCCCTCCTACCCCCCCCCCCCCGCCCCCAGCCCCAGTCTGCTCAGAGACGACATTCCTCAACCCACTGCACACACCTATCTTGTCATCTGCTCAGACCCTACCCCACCTCTCTTTCTGGTGACCCATACTGGCGCCCAGGGGGAGACCAGACTGGGTGCAAGGAAAACTGGGTTCCAGGCCAGGCTATGACACTAATTCATTGTCTTTTGAGCAAAATGTTGAATTTCTCTGGATTTCAAATTCTTAGTAAAATAAGGATTGGACATGATTTACATAAACATCCTTTTCGGCTCCGAGGTTCTAACATAAGGGTCAGAGTGCATGCATCCTATGACTTGAGAACTAGGGTCTGGGGGTGGGGGGGCAGGGGCTGACCTGGCTTAAGAACGGGGGCACTGCACTCATGGCCCCCTGAGGACTGAGTAGAGGGCTTCTGACTGCAGCCTCTAGATGTGGATGGAGGGCTTCCTCTGGCAGTTTGTGGGAGGCGAGGGGTT